GTCTCGCCCTACACCTCTCCCGCAACACCCAACGTGTCCCTCCCCGCCGCACCGCCCCCCTCGTCCTTCCACCCCCCAACAAAGTCCTCCACCTGGCCAAAACCGCTCGGCGCACGCCTCCTGCGCCCCTTCCGCAAAGGCTCCACCCCCGCCTCCAGCACCGACAGCCTCACACCCACCCCCTCCCTCGACGAGCCCGCATGGGGCGTCTCCCTCCAGCGCTGGGGCTCCTCCGCCTCCGCGTCAACCGCCACCGGCTCCCCGCTTGCACGGAGCCAGAGCGGGGGGAGCACCACTAGTAAGCGCCGGGGACGCAGTTTGCTGCCGGCGTTTGGTCTGGGAGGGAAGGATAAGGACTCGGGGGAAGGCAGCAGCGGGAAGACGAAACGGAGCAGCAGTAGTGCGAGTGCCAAGACGCCCCCGGCGTTGAACCCCTTTGCAAACTCGCTCGGTGGGAAGCGCGGGACGCGCATGCTCAATGGGAGGGTCTATGGGAGCAGGAATGCGAATGGTGAGTTTGTCTTTCTTTCTACGACGCTTTATTTTCTCTTTCTTTATTTTTTTTCGTGTTTCTGCGACTCTCTGCATTCCCTTATTCCATCCATCCATCTCGGCACACCCCTCCTCGCGTCCGCCTCGCACCCGTCTCTTCCTTTACGTCCCTGGCACTTTCGCTCACTTTGCCTCTACCTCTGCCTTTCTGCCCTCATTCTCCCTTCTTTGTTTCTTCTCTCTTTCTTCCTTTTTTGCTTGCATTCTTTTTCTCGTCATTTTTTTCCCTCGAGCCTTGCATCGGCCCTCTTTTCCGAGGAGGTTGACGCGCGCGCGTCTCGCTTCCCTCAAGCGGCCTGCCTTGTGGCTGCCTCTTCGCTCCAGTTGCTTCGATCCGGCGGCGTGTGGCGTCATATGCGAGTCTTCTTCCTTTGCAGCCCGCGTACTTCTTTGGCGTGCTGGCTGCCTTCGGGATGGTCTGGCCTCCATCGCCCGAGGACGCTGCAGCCAGCCTAGAATGTATCTTCGCATCCAGTCCCCACCGTTGACGACTTTTTTTAATGCCCGTTCACGCCTTTCTTTCATTTCCTTCCCCCTCGCGCCTTTCATTTGATTCGCCTTCCCCTTCTGCCTTCGCGTCCATCTTCACCTTTGCTCTTATTCATCTCGCCATTCGATTCGATTCCTCGCCCGTGGTTTCGGATTGGGATTGGGCTCGAGTCTGGGCATTTGGCGCTCAGTTGGGTCATTTGGCTCTCAGTTGGGTCATTTGGCGCTCAGTTGACTCCGCGGATGGGTCAAGCCACTCATTTCCCGGGATATTGATATTGGCTGGCGTCGAGCGTCGAGTCGGGTTTTGTTTGTTTGGCTCAGCGGGTTATTGGCTATTGGCTCAGGAGCGGTATATCCGTGGTCATTGCCTCGCTCTATCGCGCCTCGTCCTTGATGATACTTTTCTTGGACTCGACGGGCACGGTGCGGTGCTTCCTCGGATTCGGACCGGGGAGCGCTCGTTCAGCTGAGATGGGTCCTCGGAGTCGGACCGGTGGGGTGAGGGAATCCGCGGGTGGTGGGCGCTTGATACGGTGTGTTCTGCGCTGTTCGCCGCGGCGGTTCTAGGTGGGTGTTGTGATATGCTGCTGGTGGTGGATGCGCGGCCCGTCGTTTTGGGGGAATGTGCGACAATTTCGAGCCTCGCGTTATTCGATTTCTGTTTTGTTTTTTGTTTCACTTCTTGTTTTTCTTCTTGCTTGTCTTTTTTTTCCCCATGTTTTTGTGTCATTTTCCGTGCGAGGGGCATTTTTTCTCTCGTTCTTCCAAAGAACCCGCTCGGGCTGATAGGCATCTGCCCTCCCTCGTCTTTCTCCTCTATTCGCTTCGCCGTCTTCACCATTACGGTTATTCGTTGAAGCACTCTTACTCTTCTATCCTCATCCCGTTGACTAAAACATTGGAATGCCCATCAACTTCCATCTAACGCTCGCCAACACTTTTATCGAACGCTCGCTGACCCATTACTTTCCCAGGCACACACAACCCGTTCGGCAACGCGCGCGACGACGAGCCCGAGTTTGTCGAGTGGGGGTACGGCGGGATGGGCTCGGTGAAGAACGGGAATGCCGCGTGGGGGAGGGTGCAGGGGGGTGAGTGTTTTTGTCTTCTCTTCTCTCGTCTTTTTTATATCGTTATCGTCTTCTACGAAACGATCGGCGAGGGCGCGCTCTTTTTCATTTCTTCTTTTTACGAACAACCAGCTTTATCCGAACACCCAGCTCAACAAATTTTATTTCTCTAGGCACCCCTATTGGCAAAGCCACCTCCACACCCACCTCCTCCACAACACCATCCTCTTCCTCGACCGGACGAACGAACCCAGCCGCCGCCGCAGCGAACGGCGCGGTGGGCATGGGGGTCGTGTCCTCGACGGGCGGCGACGAGGACGAGGACGACGGGAGCGGGATGGGGTGGGTGAGGAGGAGGCGGGAGGCGAGGGAGAGGGAGAAGGCTGAGAAGGAGAGGGAGAGGGTGGAGAAGGAGAGGGCTGAGAAAGAGGCTGGGAAGAAGGGGGGCGAGGAGGTTGGGGGTGGGGAGACGGGAGCAGCAGCAACGGGAGCAGAGAAAGAGAAGGACGGCATAACAGCAGCAGCAGCAGCAGCAGCAGCGGAAGAAGCAGGCAGCGACGCGAGCACGCCTACGGGGGATACCTCCGCTTCGACGATCACGCCGCCTGCGACGTCAACGCCCGCATCGTCAACGCTCCCCGCCCCTCCGCCGCCCGCGCTCCCCCTTGGGTCCCTCTCACCGTCGGCATCGGCGGCTGCGTCCCCTGCTGCGAGCCCGCTCGGCACGCCCGCGCTGCTGTCGGGTGTACCCTCCGGCCTCGCGTCTGGGTTTGCCTCCCCTTCTGCTTCTCCCTTTGCGTCCCCACTTGGAACGCCTGCGCTCCCGGGTGCGTCGCCGCCCACGTCCGCGAATACCGATGAGGAGCATGTGCTGCGCGCGGTGACGCTGCCGGCGCATTTCAGGGGACATCATCATAGCCATAGCCATTCACATGGACATGGGCACGGGCACCAGAGGAGCAGCTCGAATGCGCTTGCTGCCGTCGCCGGTGGTGTGGGTGGTGCTGCTGCTAAAGAACCAGCGGGGGTTAATGGTAATGGGGTGCCCATTGTGGGGAGCAGCGGGAGCAGTAACAGCAGTGACTCGGATAGCGAGTCCGATTCGGAGAGTGAGGATGAGGATGATGAAGAGGAGGGCGAGAAGAAAGGGAAGGGTAAGGGCCAGGCGGGGGTTGGGAAGCAGAGTGGTGGAGATGGGGAGGATGAGGAGGATGAAGAGGACGACGACGAGGATGACGAGGACGAAGATGAGGATGAGGAGGAGGAGAAGAGGCGTGTTACGGCGCTTGGGGCGGGGGTGGAGAAGATTAGTCGGCATAAGGAATAGGGGGGAGGTGAGATGGCGGCGGGCGACGCGCTTGCTCGCGGCGCTGGCACTGAAACTCGAGGCCGAGGTTGTTCGGAGGGCGGCGATGCCATCGGGCCGACTCGACTCGTCCGTCTTCTTGCTGCGACCTCCGCCCACCACCCGCCTACCTGTACTACTCCCTCGACGCCTTGCATGACCCAAAACGACCTTCCCCCCTCATGCCATCGTCGTCGTATTTATCCCACCCCCCTCGCCTCGCTTTCGTCCTCCGTCCTCCTGCTGTCGATACCCGCTCTTGCTGTGAATAACGAACCCTCAACCCACCCCACCCCATCTCATCTCATCATCATCATCAAAAAATTCGCGGACGGTTGGAGGGAGGCGGGGTGGAGTAAAGGAACGAGTATCGAGCTCGGAGCGCTCTGTGCGCCGCCGTCCCATCGCAAGGTCCAAATACCCCCACCCAACACCCTACTCAATCCCAAGCCCCCGCCACCCCAAAACAAAATATATTATATAAACCCCCCGCGCCGCGCCGAAGATACCGCTCCGCCTGTCCGATATGATACCACCCACCATGCATACCATACCATACCATACCAGCACATTTGTCTCGCGTACAGCCTACCAGCGCGTCGGCTCGGAGTCTTGCGTACGGCCTATGGGCGCCTTGGCTCGCGTACAGCCTGTCTGCGCTTCGTCTCGTGTACGGCCTGTCAGCGCATTGGCTCAGCGTCGCGTACGGCTTGCGCAACGTCGACTTGAGCCGACGTACACCCAAAGACGCGGAAAGCCTCGGCGCTGCAGGCTGCGCCCACCACAATCCAGAACAAGAAGAAGTAGTGTATATTCGTTTTAGTGTGCGTTTCATTCCTTCCAACTCCCATACATGGCACCGATACTAACCCCGCTCTTCTCTCCACAGCACCCCCAACACTACGCATCGTTTTATTACATTATGGGTCTTACGCCGCCGCCGGTCTCCTTTGTATGTACACTACGTTTTTTGGCCTCCCACTACCTTTTTTCTTGTTTATTATCTGGTATCTTGGTTACACCGTACTTTTCACTCAGGACTCGGACTCACTGCACCCCCGCATCCATTCTAGCATACAAATCTCCTTTTACTTGGGCATACTGCAATCTCCTTTTCCCTCTCTTACTTGAGGTGTACATACATACGACGCAGACATACTAGCGCTTTCTTTCCGTGTATATATTACAGACATACATGCATATGCAGATACACATTGTGCATGTGAATCCTGGACGGGGAGTGTGAGGTATGGATGAGTAGCAGATGCGTGCCGCAGAGAACAGACAACTTGAAGTCAGTTCTCAACGGGCCTGGACGCACTGAATGGTGTTCAAGAAGAGCGAATTTGTACTCGTACAATCTGGTCAAATCAAACTGGAAACCCCGAAAATTAAATACCGGTCTGTAGTGTCGGTTCGAAGGTCGGGCTCTTACATGACAGTATGTAATACCGAGGGACACTGCACTCCGTTCACGAAACATGATTTGTCAGCCGAATGGGAAACAAAAAGTGCGCGAATCGTTTCAGAAGGCAAAAACATGCCCACTAGCTGATTCGAACAACTGATCTTGTCATTGCACATTGAATATACGAGTGACACTCCTTACCACTGGGACAAGCGGGCATATCATTTCTCCTAACCTCACTTCACCTATGTTTGTCGCCAAGGTTTCTACCGGAATTGCCTAATAGGGCCGCCGGCGTTGAGTCAGCTTCCGGAATCAACAGCGGTAAACATCACTTGTTCAAGTCTTTCACCAACAAGTTTTTTTCCCCACCGAGTTCTAGTAGCTGTCACCTAACGACCCCGTCCAAATTCATCCAATCCGGATTCCAAGTTTTCCCTCGGTTTCAACCACTAAATCTCGTCTATGGACTCCGGACTCACAGCAAAGGACACGCTGCGTCGCGCACACGCACGGTAATCTGATGGGCCCATACTTGCCTCCCGATATGCACCTGGTCCAATCAACACTTGTTAACCGTTTCAACTACTCTATCCATAGCTTTTCTATGGCGCTACCCCAAGGACCCCGATATCCAGCGATAACTTTGTGGCGAACGTGTTCTTGTACTCCATTGCCGTTACATCATCGCTTCCATGTAGGTTCAACAGCTTTTCAACTCATTCTAGTTTACGTTCAACTCGCATGACTGGACCCGCGCCCCTCCTTTTACTTCTTGCACCTCGGGAGCTGAAGCTGAACGAACGTGGCCCGGGAGCCGTTACTAGGCAATCCGAGGTGTCTCGAGCACTGTCATCCAAGTGGCAGTCATCGTTGTCCCGTCATTTCGTTACTTAATCTCACTTCGTTCCGGTATCTTACCCGCTAGCTGCTCGTTGAAGCGGTTACTTGCGTCCATGTTCGTGAAACTTTTGGCTGCGAGTCGGCGTGCGACGAGGACTCTATTTCAGCGACTTCTGAGTTAACGCCACATCCAGACTATTTTAACAATCACCGTGGACATGGACAAGATATTTTAAACGGCGATATAAATGTAAGTGGTACATCCGTCGCCTGTTTATCTTGCACCAAGGAGATAGTATATCATCATGCTGCTGTCAGTCGTCGGGAGGTCGGGAGTGCATGCTATGTCAGTCGTCGGGAGGTCGGGAGTGCATGCTATGTCATTACAAGACGAGACGAAAAATCAGATGGATTGTGGGGTACGCCGCGGCGACCTTCGGGTATTGCAGGTGAGTGTGTGTCCTTTATGGCTAGGAAATGCCGTGTTCACATTCTTTTTTAAGGTATTTCCCTTCCCGATCAATGTACATAAATCCACCGAAATGAACCTGTGGTTCGGAAAAGGCAAAGGTTCCCAGATATTTGGCCTGTCAACGCCTCGAGACGGCTGCTCAGTCAACGCGTGAACACCCCCGTCAGCCCTCGTGTCCCCGACGCGCAAATTTCTCGCCGGCTGCCTCTCATCCTGCTTTTTTCCTCACTTCTCACGTTTTTCCTCACTTCTCACTCCCCAATATCAGTCCGCGTTCTTACGGCACATCGATTCGAATAAAACACCCCATTGGCTGGATTCAGATAAAACAAACACCGTAACGCCTCATTCGCTGATTCAAATACAACACTGACGTGGTGGGATCAGTCAGCGCTCCGCGTTGAGTCACGCCAAGCAGACTTGGAAGTTGAGTGATTACAGCTTTCAAGTTTAATGTACTAGGTTCCGGGCCAAGGGTCGGGACCTGCGTATGTGGATTTAATGTGCTTGTGGGGGCGGTGATGAGTAGGGAAACTAACAGAAATAGGATGGGTCCGGTCGGTGTTGAAAGCGATAAAACTTGTAAATTTGGAGTTGAGAATTTTTTTAAACACCATTCGAGTCACTGCCTTTCCAACGCAAGTCTTGGTCATCGCATTCACCACTAAATCTACAAGTCTTTCGCAGTGAAGGGTAAATAAACATAACCGCACCGCCTTGGTGGGATACAAGAAAGAGTGGAAGGTGCACGGCCATGCACGACGGCGAGGTGCGGACTTAGCGAGGGGCGTAAAGTCTCCGAGGCGTAAAACCTATCCCGCCCCAAATCTCTCAGTCGGGAAACCTCAAGTTACCTTCGAAAGACGGACGCCACCGCTTGGCGTGTCCACAACAAGTTTGTTTTCATGTCACCGTCAAACAGACAACATACCGCATGCAGCGACGGAGGGTTTTTAGTGTGTGCGGCCATCTGACACCCCCACCAATTCCGGGTGATTCAATCGCATCCGGCCATCACGCCACCACTGCTATTGAGCAGGTTGTGAAATCGCTGCATCATCGAGGACGAGGATGGTTGTACTGAGATGACAGCTGCCGAGACCCGACCCGCGATTTTGAACGGATCTTACAAGCGACGCGACGCCTCGACAACGCGTCAGCGGGAAGACGCCGTCGATCAGTCGGCGATCATGATCGAACAGAAACGAGAAGATAGGGGTGCATTATTGAATGGTATAGACAGGATGCTGAGAGGCCTGTCGGTGATTCTCGCCGTCGTTCCTGGAATAATTAGTCGGGTGAAACACAATACCGACCCCTGGTACAAGAACTGCCCTCGAAAGTTTGTGGTTGGTTGTATCGTGAGTGGAAAGCTTGAATTTCCCCTAACAAAGAACAAACCAGAAAGCAAATCTTCGGGCCAGAAATTTCTATCCGTGAGATCGAGGACAACGATTCGGTTAATCACACTTAAACGCATCCTGAGGGAAACGGCCGCTCTACATCACTCGGAGCCATAAGCAGGTCACTGGGGGCAAAAGCCAGGGCACCTGGATTTCAGGTGCCTCCGACGCATGTACATCACAGGTTGTGATGGGTGTTTTGGCACAAAGGAAACAAAGGTGAGAATTCCTTTATTTCCTTTGTGTGAACTAAGTCCATTGCACCTGCCACCCACATGCCTCGGAGGCACCTGGTGCCCAGGTGCCCTGGATTTTGCCCCCAGTGGGTGTAAATCCGCCGCCGCCACAGCCGGTACCGGGCAATCGTCACTATTTGAGGTTTCAACCGGTGTTTAATCGAATTGAGGGGAGTCGGCATTAATCCTGTCCAGGCTACCAGTGCAAAGGACGGCGGGGATATGATATCGGGAAGCAATTGCGGAGCGGAGCTACACTGAACCGATAAATACTTCAGAAAGCGTGAGTGCAGAAATAGACAGGCAGCTGGAATATTTCAGCAAGGTGTCGAGATGGAAATGAGGTTCTTCCGCCTCAATCTGGGAGTACTACTGCTTCCATACTTACTTTGTTCGACGCATCTCGAATGAGTCTGGCAGCCTCCATTTCCTGACAGAATTGTTCAACTTCTGTCGTTCCTCAATTAACCCATCGGTTGATGCCAACGTCCGGGATTGAACAAGATTGGTAGGCAGAGTATCCAGCTGAGGAGATTGGCGCTGCTTTGACTCGGTGAGGAAGTTCCGGCCGTTGAACTGGCTCCATTTCACGTCGTGTTGAATGGTGGAATGAGATGAGCCGGATACGCAAGTAAGGACCAGAATATAGTCGGGCCGTAGCGCTCAGGAGCGGAATCACCTACCTCGGGGTAGTGGATATACCGGTATGCGCAGTCGAGTGCGCGCTTTTAGCTACTGCAGCAGAGGCGGCCGTCACATTGCCACCCTTTCATGTGATCTGCGAGAAGTTTCCTTTGCACTGCCCTCCAAAGGCAGGAAGCAATATTGCGCACTTGGTTGGTCCGCCCGGGAAGAAGAGGGATGTACATTTGGAAAGATTGTTGGCGGCAGATGGCGGTTCAGTTGAAGGAAGTTTGATGGTGATGATTTGGCGATGAAACATCACGGAGAACATCCAAAAAGATCTCGCAACATTAAAAGAACAAAAACATTCCCGCTAGCTGATTTGAACAACTGACCTCTTTCCTAAGTGTAATATTCAGGGGCCCGGCTTGGCATTTTTCAGGGGGTTTTAGTGAAATTCACTTCCCAGAACACGATTTGACCTTTCAGGGGTCGGTCTGTATTTCACGTCATCCCATGACGCCATGACGCCTCTTCAACCAGCTGCTGTCGCCGACATCACTGAGGTCCTCCGTCACTAACTATCGCTTTGACCATCACCGCCACCATCACTAACCGCTGCTTTGACCATCACCGCCACCTGAAGTCACCTGCCACTTTTTGACACTCATCCCCGAATTCCACCTTTCCTCAACCACGGTATACCGTACTCCGCCTTTGATTGCTTTTCCGTCGAATCTCAAGAACACAGAAGTATGAGGAACATAGAGACGGCCATGTGTGACTTGAACCGACATTGGGCTGGGAAGGCGCTCCTGAGTCGTGTGCGGGAGGAGCAAGTGCGAGTAAGGTGCCAGCGAGATGTCAAAGCGAGGTGGATTGAGGAGGATTCCAAGATACGGATTTTCGAAGCGGCACGTTATATTTTGATCCGAATGATCCAAAATCGCTGGTGTTCCGAGATGATGACGCTCGCTATGTACATTTGTTGTTTTGCTGTTTACGCGTTTACGACGCGTCTTGTCACATTGTGACTTCGCGCATCTGCCTTCTCCCACAACGCCGTTGAGCGTCTCCCTGCTTCGAAATTGTGGGTTAATGGCCTAGAGACCACTTGTGGGGGTGACTTTTGACACCTGCCAAGCACTCGTTCTTCCCAGTCCCGCGACACGAGTGCCTCATCCTCACATAAAATGTGTGTGGTGAGACTCGTCACTCATGCGGCTCAGGGTACCTGCTCAACATCTTAACTACAACTAAAGCCCTTCCGCAAGATTGCCTTGGGGTTGGTCCTACTTGGCCGTCCAATGGATGGTTAGGAAGTTCTGAGTTGGACAGTTACTATGACTGGGCGAGTGCACGTTTCCGACCGAGTGCACGTTTCCGACCATGTCTTCCCTGGTTGCGTCCCAGCTGCGTAGCTACCACCAACAAACACCGACTCAGAGAACACAGCTACGCAGCGCGAGAATGTGCTGTATGGTGATGTTGTTTATGCAAGGTGTTTGCACTTGCTTGACAACCACGATCCAGCTCGAGCTCCTAACTCCCTGAATCCCTCGCTCCCCGATGGCTCCACGCATCATCCCAAAATTTGTCCTCCGTGACACCCCGGCTGTAAGACTGCAGGCTCTCATCGT